TATATATATAACCCAATGTATCAACCAATACTCAGGCTAGCGCTTAGACATAAGAGACAGAAACAGCTCACCTCCAGATAACAAATTTTAATGCTTTGAGAGACAAAATTTTAGCATTAATATAGAAAACGGACATAATTCCTCAATAAATACGCACACACCAAACAAAAAATTGAGATCATTTTAAGTAAACTTGTTTAAAGCAGTTTGGTGGAACTGCTCTAATTTGTTGATGTGCTTCCTGTAGAGTGTCCAGGTCTCCGAACCGTAAAGAAGGCAGGAGAGCACAAAGGCTTTGTGTACTTTGATTTTTGTTGACAGCCGGACATTGTGCTGTTTTAGTACCTTGTTTTTTAGTCTACCGAGAGCTTGGCTGACTTTGCTGATTCGTGAATCAATTTCCTGATCGATGGAGCCATCTGCAGAGATGATACTTCCAAGGTATCTAAAGTTCTTGGTGTTCTTCAGATTGTTGCAATAGATAGTGATGTTTGGAGACAGTGGGTTAGTGTGTGGGGCAGGCGGAGAAGAACTTCAGTTTTCCCGATGCTTATTTTAAGTCCAAAAGCTTTGAAGTTTCTGCAAAGTGATTGAGTATTGTTTGCAGGTCCTCTTCAGAATGAGCATTCAAGAAGCAGTCATTAGCGAAGAGCACCTCTTGAAGGAGTTCTGTGCTGGTTCGTCCTGGCTTGCAGGCGACGCAGATCAAAAAGGGAGCTGTCCAAGGGGTACTTACTTTACTTTTACTTTTTCATCCTCTGTTGCCGTTAAGCGCCGAGGGGAGATACAGTTTTCTTTGGTAGGCCAGCTCCGCAGCTCTTTTAGTTGTGATGTTATGTTTTCTTAGGGTTTCCTTGACACCCTCGATCCACCTTTAGCGTGGCCTTCCTCTTCCTTTATAGCCTGAGTGCTTAATGTTGTAGGCTCTCCAGGCTGGCTGGCCAGGTGACATACGTAACATCCTCTGTCTTTCTATGTAACGCAGGCAGGACTAAGTGCTGATAGCTGCTCTTACTTCTTCATTTCTCTTCCTGTCGCGTCTTGTGATGTTAAGGGTTTTGAGGAGACATTTAATTTTGAAAGCGGTGATTTTGCTTTCATGGTTCCAAGGGGTAATTTAGGTTCCCTTATCAAGATCATTGCAGGGGTGGGAAAGCATGGCGATGAAGAAGATGTAGAAGAGGACTGGTGCCCGGACACAGCCTTGTTTGATGCCATTCGAGATTTTGAATTCGTCCCTCATGTTGCCACTTGCAAGAACTTGACAACTCACACCAGTGTGGAAAAGCTGGACGATCTTTAAGTAACCTAGTAGGACAATCTGGTCGTTCTTTTGGAGTGAATTGAATGAGCTCGGTTAGCTGTTGGTAAAATTGTCGCTTTGTTGTATCATCCGGGTTGGCGAGTGTGTGTGTGTGTGTGGGGGGGGGGGG